TGAACCGCCTGTTTACGCTGTGCGGGTGGCGCGGTCCTCCACGAAAAAATTGTGCACCGACCCCCCCTACCCCCCCCCCGCGTTTTGGGGGGGTAAGGAGGGAAAGAGGGAGGTTTTCACCTCCTCAAACCCATCCAACACGCCGCCAGGGTCGGCGGACCCCAAACCCCAAACCCTAAACCCTAAACTTTAAACCCTAAACCCTAAACCCTAAACCCTAAACCCTCAACCCTCAACCCTCAACCCTCAACCCTCAACCCTCAGCCCTCAACCCTCAACCCTCAACCCTCAACCCTCAACCCTCAACCCTAAACCCTAAACCCTGAACCCTGAACCCTGAACCCTGAACCCTAAACCCTAAACCCTAAACCCTAAACCCTAAAGCCTAAAGCCTAAACCCTAAACCCTGCACTCGAAACCAATGCGAAACGGTCGTCGCGTTTGAGCTTCCGGGCTCACAGAGTCCCGCGTTATTTGGGGCCTGTGCGGGCATACTTGTCATTATCGTAATTTAAATTTTTCATGATCGTTACTTATCATCATCGTGACCATGCAAAATCTCGTTATTGTCTTGTTCATGTTGGGATGTTCCCCGGTATACTAGCAGTAACAGTCCTTATCAGGGATTATTAGTACCCCCTATGATAATCCATATTAAGGACTGCTCGTATAAGGCGGAGCCTCCCAATGTTTGTGTTTTATTGGTCCCCTTTTTCTGGGTCGGGTGTAGCGTTTGGCTCTTCCAAACTTGCATGTCCCAGCTCCCACATGTTTTTTTATTGTGGGTTATAGTCGTTTAGTGGCCTTTCTCCAGCAAGCATCCATATTAGACAAAAAACCACACCCTCAATCCTTAAGCCCTACGCCCTAAGCCCTAAACCCGAAGCAGCAAGTTTGCCACTCTTGAGTTAACAAAGCACTCCGTCCGCTGGAGCGAGAGCGAGCCGCATGTCTCACCAAATCGGGCGCGTCCTATAGCTGAGCTTTATGGGGACTTGTGGCCCCCTGTAGAAGTCCTAAGTCAAGAAGCCCTCACCAAAAACCCGCAAAGATCATGAGCGTAAACTCTGACAGAAGATCATCTAAGATTAAGAACAAGAATGAGACTCCTGCTCTGCTTCGAGAAGAGGCTTTGGGCCCGCGCACCCAGTGGGCCGCCCTGGCGGAACCCACCCTAAAAGCCCCAAAGCCCCAAAGCCCCAAAGCCCTAAACCCTAAACCCTCAACCCTCAACCCTCAAACCTCAACCCTCAACCCTCAACCCTTAACCCTAAACCCTAAACCCTAAACCCTAAACCCTTAACCCTAAACCCTAAACCCTAAACCCTAAACCCTAAACCCTAAACCCTAAACCCTAAACCCTAAACCCTAAAACCCTAAAGCCCTAAAGCCCTAAACCCTAAACGCTTTGGATCGCGGGGCCGTGGCGTCAGCCGCCGCACCCCACAAACGCGGCTAAACCCAAAACCCTTAAAGCTTCCTTTGGAGTTAGTTTTATAGGGTTGACCCTAAACCCTACACCCTACACCCTACACCCCCTACACCCTACACCCTACACCCTAAACCCTAAAGCCTAAAGCCTAAAGCCTAAAGCCTAAAGCCTAAAGCCTAAAGCCTAAAGCCTAAAGCCTAAACCCTAAACCCTAAACCCGAAACCGTGCGGACGCGCCCAAGGCAGTGGGAGATTCGTGGGACCCTGTGGGGCCCTTTTGGAGAGACTTCAGCCATTCGGCTCCGCGCGCGTCGATGACAAAAGTGGGTCGTGGGTTTAGAGCTTAGGGCTTAGGGTTTAGGGTTTAGGGTTTAGGGTTTAGGATTTCGGGTTTAGGGTTTAGGGTTTAGGGGACACGAAGATACCCTGAACCTTAAATCCTAAGTCTACTTCCGACCATGAGAAGCGCCTTGATCTTGCTGGTTCAGAACCCGTATACCCCGGAGGCCTGTTTGTTGGCTTAGTAGCTGAGTGAGCACACGTTACACTTTCTGGGATGCTATCATCCCCTACAGAGCTGAAAGTGCACACTTTTTTGGGGCTTCTGAACTCAGCCGCGAAGTTGGTCTAGTGTTTGTGGTTTTTCTGCGGGTTCGGGTGCTCATGGTAAACCCTAAACCCTAAACCCTAAACCCTAAACCCTAAAGCCTAAAGCCTAAAGCCTACAGGTTTGTACTCAGATGCAGACACCTCTGAGTGCCAGAGTCCGCATGATTGACCACCCCTCTCTAAATTACCCCCCCCCCCCTACGTTCCCCCATAATTAAGGCTATTTAAGGATAATTAAGCTTAATTAAGGTGATTTAGGTAGAACCGAAGAAGGTAGTGTAGAGGGATGGTAGTAGGGAAACCCACGAATTGACGTGCTCTCAACGCAGCTTTGACGGCTTGGAAGCAGCTGATGGCAGCAAACCGAAGCCCCCCCAACCCTAAACCCTGAAACCCGAACCCTAAACCCCAAACCCCAAACCCCCAACCCTAAACCCTAAACCCTAAACCCTAAACCCTAAACCCTAAACCCTAAACCCTAAACCCTAAACCCTAAACCCTAAAACCCTAAACCCTAAACCCTAAACCCTAAACCCTAAACCCTAAACCCTAAACCCTAAACCCTAAACCCTAAACCCTAAACCCTAAACCCTAAACCAAACCCTAAACCCTAAACCCTAAACCCTAAACCCTAAACCCTAAACCCTAAACCCTAAACCCTAAACCCTAAACTTTCCTAAGCCCCAGGTAAACCCTAAACAAATCCATCGGGTTCATGTGTCACCAATCTGTAGAGCCATGGCGGTAGCTGAAGCAGCTTCCAATGTGCCAGCTCCAAGTGAGGGTTGAGGGTTTAGGGTTTAGGTAGGGTTTAGGCTTTAGGGTTTAGAGGCTTAGAACCTTAAACCGCTCACCCCCAACCGCTACCCTAATTCCTAAACCCGAAAACTGAACCCTAAACCTTAAATTCTTAAAGCCCTAAACCCTAAACCCTAAACCCCAAACCCCAAACCCTAAACCCTAAACCCTAAACCCTAAACTCTTGAAGCCCTAAACCCTGAAGCTCCAAGCTTCGACGGCCCCAAGCCGAAAACCTCTGCCTTCATTCTCAGGGGGTTTAGGGTTTAGAGTTTAGGGTTTAGGGTTTAGGGTTTAGGGGGTTTAGGGTTTAGGGTTTAGGGGGTTTAGGGGGTTTAGGGTTTAGGGGTTGGAGTTTAGGGTTTAGGGTTTTGGGTTTTGGGTTTCGGGTTTCGCGTTTAGGGAAGTTGACATGGTCCCTTAATATGACCCCTGCCCCCTCTTTAAAGGGCTCTGAAGTATGGGACCTTGTGTCGTCGTATATAAGGGGTCCCCTTTCAAGGGCGCATATTAAGGGTCCAGAGGGACTACTTCATTCCCTACGAGCCGACAGTACGAAGAGAGGTTCCTTGGAGGTTTCTGGGCAGCTATGAGTAGGGTTGAGGGTTTGTGGTTTGGGGTTTAGGGTTTGAGGTTGTTAAGCAGTATACGCATCACCCTGTTTGGGGTATTTCTAGTCCTACTTACAACCCTACGTTGAACTATCCATGAACCCCTAGATAAGACTCTAGATTTTTTGGGGAAGGTTCAACTGGTTTGTTCTGAAGAGTTGAGTCTTCCTTGGGAACAAACGGAGGCTGCCATAAATCTCATCAGAAAGTGTGCCGTAACTGTTCTGAGGTCCGCATCGAGGCCATGGCGTCAATTCTCAGCGTTCCTGGGGTTTACCCTAAATATCCCCAAGCCCTAAACGCTAGGCGAGCTGCTGAGGGGTTGTTGGCACATGCCGGCTTGGACTGTTGGGGGCTGGTAAACCTAAACCAAAACAGGCCTCAGAATTAAACCTCAGAACTCCTTCAAAATCAGGGCCGTAGCATTGACTGCCCTGAAGCTCCGGGTCGCGACTAAACATTGAGATTGCCCCAAACGGGACACACAGACAAATCCCCCACATGCGCTCCTAGAGCCTATGCTCCCGACCTTCCGTACAAAACCCCGGGGCCGCTAGCCTCTAAACCCTGACAAGCCCGAAGACCACACTGTCTTCAACGCGGGTAGCTGTGAGCCGGCACTTTGCTGCCATGTGCGTGGTCGTTTCCTCGCCGCTCTTTCAAGGTCCGCGCCCTGGAAACTGCCTGGATCTTTAGGGTGCACACCGGCTGCCGTGGTGTTTATAGGGTTCAGGGTTTAGGGTTTAGGGTTTAGGATCCAAGGTCCTTCGAAGTCAGATGTACGGAGTTGGTACATTGCGCGACGTGCAGTTTCCAGATGTGGGGGATTCTCTAAATTAGGGTCCCTTTTTGGGGTGACTATTATAAGGCGGCCCCGAATATTTAGGGTACCCCAACAACGGGACCATAATAGAGAAGTGACCATGCCTTCTTGCATGCTTGTACCCAGCCCTGAACCTCAACCCCTAGCCCCTAGCCCCTAAACCCCGAAACCCTAAACTCCAATCTTGGCTTCGCCTCGGCTGAGGGCATTCCTCCTGTCTGGGGGCCTTTACAAATCTGCGGGTTCGGATTATGAGGTGAGGTTTCGAGTTGACATGTTAGGTGCGCAAGTACCCCAAATTCGCGGCTGCTTTTGGGGTTTAGCCCTTTTACTCTCCAGGGTTTGGGTAGTTTGGGTCCTCGAGCTCAAGCACCTTTAGGATTTGGGGGTTTTCAGGACACAGGCCTTTGGGGTGCTCCCGAGAAAAAGGAACACATGGACCCTAATACCTCAACCCTAAACCCCAAGCCCTAAACCAACCTCCAACCTCAGCCCTTTCTCGCTTTCGCGCCGAGGCTCTGTGATGCCACGGGCAGAGGCTTCTCGGATCCGAAGAACTGCATGGCTCAACCCTAAGCCACCACATCGATTCTACCCGTCTGTTTCTGGAGCTATGCCAACACACAGATCCTTTGCAGAAGTGGTGAACTCGGGCGGCAAGTCAGGTTCCACGGCCAAGGTCAAGCTACTGGGTCTAGCTTTGGTATCCTTTGGATGCGAGCGCGGTCGCAGAGTGGGTGCTCAAGCTGTGGCCAGGAAAGTGTCCGACCTCCGTCCCTCCTTTACGCGGCGAGCATCTGGAGCCATGGCTGTCGCGATGCCTCTGCCCAGTGAGTTCAAGGCTCGAATATCTCTCCCACCCTGCGAATCTTGAACCCGAAGCCCTTGGTTATCCCCGCCCCCCCTCTTGCCCCCTAGAGCTGGCAGAGGATACTCGACTCGTCAATAGGTCTCGGCGCGTTTCGCCCAGGCGATCGTGCTCCGCTTGGGATTTGGGCTCAGGAGTTCGAGGAATTCGAGTTTAGGGCGTGGCCCGTGCCGCAAAGAGGTGACAGTCAACGTGACGGTCGGACCCGAGCTGGCTGGAAAGTCCGGGAAACTGCTGCTTTACCTGCACGACCAGGCAGGGTTCGGGTTTAGGAGTTTAGGGTTTAGGGTTCAGGGTTTAGGAGTTTTACAAGAATTGAAAGGTTCACCTTTCTGGGCCAGGGTACTCAGCAACTAGGCTAAGACCCAGCCCAGATGTTGGCCGATGCACCAGCGGGTCTGGCGGCCGAGTACACGCTGAGCGACAAGTCCGAGACCGTCGAGCTGGTGGCGGACAAGAAACTTGGGTTTAGGGTTTAGGGTTTAGGGTTTAGGGTTTAGGGTTTAGGGTTTAGGGTTTAGGGTTTAGGGTTTAGGGTTTAGGGTTTAGGGTTTAGGGTTTAGGGTTTAGGGTTTAGTAGGGTAATATATTCCCCTTAGAATCCCAAAGGTTAGCCTTTAAAACCCCTAGGTACGGGACAACTAAGGAAAGCTGAGCAGATCGGGAAAACCGCCGAGACTTGCTGCAACTATGTGCTTAAGAGCCAGCAAGCAAAGAATAACAATCCCCAGATTGCCCTTGATGTGGTGATTATTGCTATGATTATTATTATTACTACTATTATTATTATAATATCATCATTGTCATTATTAGTATGTCTATATATATATAGATAGATATTATATATACATTCATATATATATATATATATGGTCAGCCCCCCCCCCATGATCCACACCTATGGTTTTCTTGTCTTCGTCTTTGTCTGATTTTCTGCTTTTTCCTCGGAAAAATGCAGTAAAAACTGCACTGGAATACAAAAAGCTCTAGTATAATATCCTCTATAAGAACACTAGTGTTTTAATGTGCATTTTGCTTCTGAAACTTGTGTCTTGCGGCCCCCTAAAATTTTAGAAGGGTAGCAATTAGAAGTTTAAGGATTTTCAGGGCTTTAGGGGTTTGTAAAATTTGGATGATCTGTGGACGGCACTGGGGCTTCCCCAGACCATTTGCAATTTTAAAAATCCTTTAAAGGGGCAGCCCTTTTCAAATTTGAAGGGCTTTAAGGTACTTAAAGCCTTTCAAAATTTTCAAGATTTAAAGGATCTTAAAAGGCTTTAAAGCCCTTAAAGACCTCGAAACGTTTATCCCTTAAAAGTCTAAAATTCCTTAAAATTAAAAACGGGCAGCCGTTTAAAATTAAGGAAGTTACGGATTTTAGAATCGAACATCCTAAAAACTTTAAACTTCAAAAGGACAGCCTTTTACAACTGCAAGAATTTCAGTGTTTTACGGATTTGTAAAAAAGTTATATGGTCTGGGGAAGGCACCGGGGCTTCTCCAGACCATTGGCAACTTCAAAAGTCTCTAAAATCCGCAAAGGTCAGCCACTTAAATACGTAAGCAATTTAAGGTCTCCAATAGGCTTAAACGTCTTAAAACCTTTATAATCCTGAGAATGTTTAAACAGAAGCTTAAAGATTTTTACAAGGTTTTAAGGATTTTAAAAGTTTAGATGGTCTGGGGAAGCCCCAGTGCCTTCCCCAGATCATGTAAAATTGCAAAAACCCTTAAACCCTTAACCCTAAAAACTTAACACTAAGCCCTTAGCACAAACCCCAAACACTTAACATGAAACCCTAAGCACCTCAGCACTAAACCCTAAACACTAAACCCTAAACACTTAAGCACTACACCCTAAAAACTAAACCCTAAAAACTAAACCCTAAACATTACACACTAAACCCTACACACTAAACCCTGAACACTAGTAAAAATCTTAACACCCTTAATCCAAAAAAACAAACCCGAAACCCTTAACACTAAACCCTAAACACTCAGCACTAGACCCTAAACACTAACCCTAGAAAACTTAACACTAGGCCCACGAACCCAAACACTTGACACTAAACCCTAAACACATAAGCACTACTAAACCCAAAAAATCAGCACCAGACCCTAAACACGAACCCTAAAAACTTAACACTAAGCCCTTAGCACAAACCCCAAACACTTAACAGGAAACCCTAAACACTTAAGCGCTAGACCCTAAACATTAAACCCTAAACACTTAAACACTACACCCTAAAAACTAAACCCTAAACATTACACCCTAAACCCTACACACTAAACCCTGGACACAAGTAAAAAACCCTTAAAACCCGTAACCCAAAAAAGAAACCGAAACCCTTAGCACTGAACCCTAAACACTCAGCACTAGACCTAAGCCTAAAAGCTTAACACTAAGCCCTTAGCACGAACCCCAAACACTGAACACGAAACCCTAAACACTTAAGCACTAATCCCTTTCTAAACACTAAACCCAAAACACTTACACACTACACCCTAAAAACTAAACCCTAAACATTACACACTAAACCCTGAAAACTAAACCCTAAACCCTAAACAAAAGGATTTTCAAGTTGTCAATGGTCTGGGGAAGCCCCGGTGCCTTCCCCAGATCATTTAAATTTGTAAAAACCCTTAAAACCCTTAACCCTAAAAAACCAAACCCGAAACCCTTAATACTAAACCCTAAGCACTAACCCTAAAACCTTAACACTAAGCCCTTAGCACAAACCCCAAACACTTAGCACGAAACCCTAAACACTTAAGCACTTAACCCAAAAACTAAACCTTAAACATTTCAAACTGAACCCTAAACATTAGACACTAAACCCTGAACACTAAACCCTAAACCCTAAACAGTAAACCCCAAAGCCGGAACCTCGAGCCCTACTAAATCTAAACCTGAAACCAAAAACCCGTCGGGGTTTCAGATGCTTACTGTTTGGATATCAGAGTTTAGGGTTTTTTTGGGGTTTTAGCCGAGCCGCTTGACCCTAAACCCTAAACCCTAAACCCTAAACCCTAAACCCTAAACTTAAAACTCAACCCTAAACACAAAACACTAAACCCTGAAACCTACACACTAATCCCTAAACACTAGATGTCCAGAAAAAATCTGGAGTATCCGGGCCCCGGACTCCAGATTTGCAGAAAAAATCTGGAGTACCCGGGCCCCGGACTCCAGACTCCAGATTTCCAGAAAAAATCTGGAGTACCGGGGCCAGGGACTCCAGACTCCAGATTTCCAGAAAAATATTCTGGAGTACCGGGGCCCCGGACTCCAGACTCCAGATTTCCAGAAAAAATCTGGAGTACCGGGGCCCCGGACTCCAGACTCCAGATTTCCGGAAAAAATCTGGAGTACCGGGGCCCCGGACTCCAGACTCTAGATTTCCAGAAAAAAATCTGGAGTACCTGGGGCCCCAGACTCCAGACTCCAGATTTCCAGAAAAAATCTGGAGTACCGGGGCCCCGGACTCCAGACTCCAGATTTCCAGAAAAAACTGGAGTACCCGGAGCCCCAGACTCCAGACTCCAGATTTCCAGAAAAAATCTGGAGTACCCGCGGCCCCAGACTCCAGACTACAGACTCCAGATTACAGACTCCAGAATCTGGAGTCCAGGGTCGCGGTACTCCAGATTTTTTCTGGAAATCTGGAGTCTGGAGTCCGGGGCGCCGGTACTCCAGATTTTTTCTGGAAATCTGGAGTCTGGAGTCTGGGGGTACTCCAGATTTTTTCTGGAAATCTGGAGTCTGGAGTCGGGGGGTACTCCAGATTTTTTCTGGAAATCTGGAGTCTGGAGTCCCCCCCCTCCCAAAACCCCCTCCCGAGGCCAATTGTGTGGATCATGGGGGGGGGGGGCGAGCATATATATATATATATATTTTTTTTTTTTTGGGGGGGGTTCTACCATTTTGTTAAGAGCCTTCCCAAAAGTGGAAAACATTCCTCCGTATAAGGGCAATATAGGGATTACCATTGTTGGTTTAATTAGGTGGCTGGAAGTAGGGCTGTAAGTACCCTATAAAAGGTTGTATAAACTCCCAATGAACCTCCGCTTCTCCCTCTCTCTCTCGGACTCTCTCTGTGTTAGAGGGGTTGACGTAGTGGCTCTAGGGTTAAGGGCACGTTTTAGGGTTTTTGGTTCAGGTGTTTGACTTTTTGCGATTCTGGGCATCGCGACAAGTCCTGCAGCAGGGTCTGGAAGCGGCAGCTGCGGAGAAGCAGCGCTGTGTGAGGTTGAGTCATGAGACCGTACAAGCTCCTAACCCGAAACGTGTACTGAGGATCAGATGCACCAGCCGTCTTACTACCTCAGTGTCTCTGGGGAAGTCTTTGCGGATCCAGTTTTTCGACTGTCGGCTGGGCAGACGGTGGACATCACTCTCAGGGCAAGAAGCTCTTGATACTTGGTAGCCCAATGGTACCCTTTTCCCTTTTTGGGTTCAAGGTTCCCTTATGAAGTAACGAAGCCCAAACAGGGTACCCTTATTATATGAAATATGGTTAATGGGCTACCAAGGATATCAGTCTGAGGGCCAGAAGCTCGCGAAACCATACATTGAAGTGCTTTTGAAAGTTTAGAGTTCCGGCATTCCCGACCTTTGACATCTCAAGCTCAGAAGCCCCCCTAAACCCTAAACTCTAAACCCTAAAGCCGAAACCCGAAACCTCGACCCATGCAGGTCGCCTCACTCTTAAAACCCTGAAATCCGCAAACTCCTCACTCCCCAAAGTCCGAGGAATACTCAAAACGGATGCCCCCTTGAGAGTACCACCCGCCCCCTTTAATTGGGAGTGTTTTGTCTTGGGTTTAACCCCTAAACCCTAAACCCTAAACCCTAAACCCTAAACCCTAAACCCTAAACCCTAAACCCTAAACCCTAAACCCTAAACCCTAAACCCTAAACCCTAAACCCTAAACCCTAAACCCTAAACCCTAAACCCTAAACCCCCCCCTTCTGCTTTTGAAGCCAACCTGGAAACTCTAAACTGCCACCTGCCTTCTCCAACACTTCGCGTGGGAGAAGAAAAAGGGGCTGCTTGGGTCTTAGAGGCTAGGGTTTGGGGCTTAGGCTTCAGGGTTTATATGGGAGCTTTTCGTAGGAGCTTAGAAGTTCTGCGGTTTGGGTCTTAGTTGCTGAGAGAGTACACTTTACACTTTTTGGGATACAGGCTTCAGGGTTTATATGGGAGCTTTTAGGGTTTAGGGTCTCTGGGCTCTTTTGGACCTTTGCACGCCGGAGCCTCAACAAAATGGCCTGACTTAGAGTTGAGTTAGGAGTTTGGGGTTTAGGGTTTAGGGGTTCAGGATTTAGGGGTTTAGGGTTTAGGGGTTTAGGGTTTAGGGTTCAGGGTTCAGGATTTAGGGGTTTAGGGTTTCGGATTTAGGGTTTAGGGTTTAGGGTTTAGGGCTCTAAACCTTCAGCCCTGAACCTCAAAGAGAGCCCAATACCCCTTATAGAAGCAACACAAAGGATTTCTCGCACCTGCTATACATGGTGTAGCTTCTTCGAACGCATTTTTCCTCGATTAACGCCTATTGGGCTCTCCGGGAAAGTCCCAGCAGGATAGGGTGTGGGGTGTAGGTTTTCGTGTTGAGGGTACCTACCTACTGAACCGAATCCCCAAGCCCTTAATCTAGGGGGGCTGTCGCCCACAGCCGGGCACGCCCGAGAAAAGGAGAAGGAGAAGGAGAAGGAGAAGGAGGAGGAGGAGGAGGAGGAGGAGGAGGAGGAGGAGGAGGAGGAGGAGGAGGAGGAGAAGAATCAAAGTAGAAAGAAGAAAAAGAGCGACAACACCGAACACAAAAAACTACTGTCCTTTTCGAGCGCGCGCGCAGGGAAAGAGCCGCGCGCCGTGTTGTGGCAATGCTTCCCAGGCTGCGGTATACAAGGCCCTGCCACTGGGGGTATGTAACCCAGTACTACTTGAACAACCTATAAGCGCAGCATGGATCCCGATTCCAAGACCCTCAAAGGTATGTGGGCTTAGGGCTTTCGGGGTTAGTCCCCCTAGGCCCTTAACCTTGCACCCTATATCCTGAACCCTAAGCCCAACATCTTGGGATGTTCCCCTTCTACTAACAGTGCTCAATAGGGATTATAAGAGGGGGTACGATTAACCCCCTATTATAATCCCTGTTAAGGAGTGTTGGCATAAGGGGGAACATCCCAACCCTAAACCCTAAATCCTAAACCCTAAACCCTAAACCCGAAACCCTAAACCCTGAACCCTGAACCCCTAAACCCTAAACCTAAACCCCAACCCTGGACCCTAAACCACTAAACCTCTAAACCTTCCACAAGCCTAGATTGGGCGCGTCAGCCTTCTCACGGCCTCGGCCCTTGCCGAATGACTCACCTGACCGCAGCCTTCGGGGCCGACGATGTAGGGTCCCGGGTTAAGGGTTTAAGGGGTTTAGGGTTTGAGGGTTTAGGGTTTGAGGGTTTGAGGGTTTAGGGTTCAGGGTTTAGGGTTTGGGGGTTTGGGTTTAAGGGTTAAGGGTTCTGTGGAACCCTGCAGCATCCGTTCAGTCTCCCCACGATGCACATGCCGAAGCCCCCTAAACAATGCCTTAGGATGCGCCTTCACCCTAAACCTTAAACCCTAAACCCCATAATTGTAACCCTAAGTTTAAGGCTCGAAGGACTCTTACTTTCAGGTTTTTGCGCCCAAAGGTCTTATTATAAAAAGTTCTTGGTCAGTGCTAGAGCCGCAAAGCCCTGAGCGTTCCCGACGTCAGAAGGCGGATTCCGCCGTTTCGTGTGCATTTGTTGCCCAGAGCCCAAGACCACGGTAGACATAGGGGAATATAACTTCGGCCTTAAGCAATACTGGGGCTATCTATCTCTATATATATATATATATATATGTATATGCAATATATATATATATATATATATATATAATAGAGTCTAGGCGGATATTCCTGAGTCGGTATTGGGCTTTCTGGGTACGCAAGTTGAAGCTCGACACGCCGGCACAGAAACGATGCCAGGGGTTTAGGGTTCCCTTTTTCTTGGCTGCCCTCCCAAACAAGTGCCAACACGTAGTCCTCCAGTCTGTGCATGTACCACCGCCCTGACAGTTTCAGTGACCTTGCTGGTTGTCCTTCATGCTGCTGGTGCCTTTCACAATGCCTGAGCATTTGGGGTGCGTTCGCTGTCTTCAGTGGCCGCTCCTAGGCGAATATTGCGCAAGCTGAGACCAGTCTTAGCCCTCAAGAGCCTTAGCTCCGAAACCGTATAAAGACCTACCTGGACCCGCGCTTTTTTCTCCGAAGTGCCCGTGAGACTTGCCTGGTACCGACAACCAAACTGCTTGAAAAAACAGCTTCGTGGCGGATCCACATGCGTCTATGCAAACTCCTGCGCAGGCTTTGGGGGGACGAAAACGGATGTTGGGTTTAAGTCTTAAAGCAATGAACTACCTCCCCGGCCAAATGGTCTGTCAGGAGGGATATAGGGCTTCTTTTCAGCATTCCGAAACCCAGACCCCCAACCCTACAGCAGATTCGCAGGTCCAGGCAGGCTTCAGGACCTAAACCCCCTCAAACCCTAAGACTGAACCCCCAAACCTCAACCCTAAACCCCTGAAACCCTAAACCCTAAACCCTTGAAAAACCTAGGGCTGAGGGTTCGAAAAGAGGTGCCTTGCCGCTCCTTGACGGCTTGGCGGGACACCTGGCGCCAGCTCGCCACGCAGGAGCTGCCTTTGGCTTGAGGGTTTAAGGGGTTTAGGGCTTGGGGTTTGGGGTTTAGGGTTTAGGGTTTGGGGTTTAAAGGGCTTAGGGTTAGCAGGAATTTCGCTACCGCTGCAAGCGATACCCGAAGCACTGCAGGTATGTGGGTTTTCCGAAAATTGGGGGTACCCTTTTTGGGGGTCCCTTCAAGCATATTCTTTTCTATTTGGGGGTATAAAAGGGGTACCCTATTTTGGGAATATTCATATGGGATTTTACGAAGGGTGCGGAGCATAGTTCTGAGATGAGCATTTGGGTTGATCGATGGTCGCTTAGTCTGCTGGGTGAAGTGTTCTTTCCCACAGCCTTGCAGGCCGCAAACAGAGGTTTCAGATGCCAAAAAAGTCCCCAAACCCTCAGGACGGGCATTTTGTTCTCTGCCCCCTTGTTGTCCAATGCTTCTTTTTGTTTTTCCCTGGTTCTTGCCTCCTCTTGCGGCTCTTTCCTTGACAACCCGAAACCCGCAGGTGTGAGAGCGGCAAGCATTGTTCTTGGTTCCACGGGTCCTGGTTCAGGTGTAGGACTAGGACGTGGGACTACGGGCAGCCAAACAAAACCAACAGTCTTGCATGCTGGCCATGCCTACGAACTCCTTAAACAAGCCCGAAACTAAACCCCAAGCCCTCACCCTAAACCCGAAACTCCAAAACCCTAAACAATAAGCAATAAACCCTAAACCCTAAAACCCTCAACCCCAAACCTGCACCTCCAAAACCCTACACCCTAAACCCTAAACACTAAACACTAAACCCTAAACCCTAAACCCTAGACCTCAAGCAGGCCCGCACGGCCGAATGCGACGTGCGACGGGACTTGCAGGGCTCCGCACAGCGGCCCTGGAGCCAGGCGCGTCTCAGGGTTTGGGGTTTTGGGGTTTAGGGTTGAGAGTTTAGGGTGAGGGGTTTAGGGTTTGGGGCTTCGGGTTTAGGGTTGGCGGGGTTTAGGGTTTAGGGGGTAGGGCTTAGGGTGTAGGGCTTAGGGCCCAATACCCCCCCCAATACCCCAGCAGAAGCCCCCAAAGCCAAGGCTCGAGCCCTCCATCGCCAAACCGCCCAGCCCCCAAACAAACACCCAGAGCCCAGCAAGAACCCTAACCCCTAAACCCTAAACCCCAAAGCGTAACCCCTAAACCCTAAACCCTAAACACCTGAACCCAAAACAAAACCCAAAAATGCCTAACACCTAAACCTCCAACCCTTCCAAACCCCGAACTCCCTACATCCCCGAAACCTCCACCCACCCGACCGCCAAAACCCTCAACCCCTGCACCCCTGCACCCCTGCACCCCTGCACCCCTGCACCCCTGCACCCCTGCACCCCTGCACCCCTGCACCCCTGCACCCCTGCACCCCTGCACCCCAAACCCCAAACCCCAAACCCCAAACCCCAAACCCCAAACCCTAAACCCCTAACCCCTAACCCCTGAAGCCCAAGCACTAAAACCTCACATCCTAAAACCCAAACCCTAAAACCCCTAAACCCTAAAACCTCACATCCTAAAACCCCAAACCCTAAACCCCCAAACCCTTCAACCCTAAAGCCTTAAAACCCTAAACCTTGAACCCTAGAGCCCCCAAAACCCTCAACCCCAAACCCTAAACCCCCCAAACCCTAAACCTCCAAACCCGAAGCCCTTAACACCCTAATCCCTAAACCCCCTAGAGCCATCAGAAAACCCTAAGCCCTAAATCCCCTCAACCCTAAAACCCGCAAGCCCTCAAGCGTTAACCCTCCGGCCTTCCCTAAACCCTAAACCTAAACCCTGAACCCTAAACTAAACCCTAAACCCTAAACCCTAAACCCTAAACCCTAAACCCTAAACCCTAAACCCTAAACCCTAAACCCTAAACCCTAAACCCTAAACCCTCAACCCTCAACCCTCAACCCTAAACCCTAAACCCTAAACCCTAAACCCCAGGCCTTGGCTGCCGATCTCCGAACCACGTGGACAACACTGGAGGCCGACCGGCAAGGCTGGGAGAAGGCGCGGCCCGGGCCTTCGGGCGGTTTAGGGTTTAGGGTTTAGGGTTTAGGGTTTAGGGCTTAGGGTTTAGGGTTTAGGGTTTAGGGTTTAGGGTTTAGGGTTTAGGGTTTAGGGTTTAGGGTTTGGGGGTTAGGGGTTAGGGTTTAATTAGGGTTTAGGGTTCAGGGTTTAGGGGTTTGGGGTTTTAGGGTTTAGGGGTTTAGGGGTTTAGGAGTTTGGGGGTTTGGTTTAGGAGTTTGGGGGTTTGGGGGTTTGGGGGTTTAGGGGTTTTAGGGGTTTTAGGGGTTTAGAAGGTTGAGGGGGTTTAGAGGGTTTGGGGGTTTAGGGTGGGTGTCTATCTATGTCATCGCATGGGCGTGCCGGTGGCACATGGGAATGGTGCGCCGCAGTAGAGTCTAGGGCTTTAGGGGTTTCGAGGTATAGGTTTTGAGGGTTCGAGGTTTATGTAGGGGTGCAGGGTCTGGAGTTTCGGGGTTGGGGCGTAGGTAGGGTTCTCAGGCATTAGGATTTACGGGTGTGGGGCTTGGTCCTAAACCCGAAACCCTAAACAACAACCCTAAACCCTAAGCCCTAAGCCCTAAACCCTAAACCCTAAACCCCAAACCCTAAACCCTAAACTCTAAACCCTAAACCCTAAACCCTGGCTTTTAGGATCCAATCAGGGTGTTGTCCTTTCGTGTCCTGCGCAGTTGAACCCTTACGCCCTGTCTTTTCGCTGGCTGGTTTAGCTTTCAGGGCTTAGGGTAAGCGAGTCCGGTGGTAAAAATGGGTTTGAGGTTTAGGGTTTAGCCAGGTGGAGGGGGTTGATATGCCACGAACACACTAGACCCTTAACCCCTGAGCCCTGAAGCCGTCAACCCTCAGCCCTTGTACCCTTAAACCCTTTAAGCACACAAGCCCTTCAAAGCCTCAGACCTAAACCCACTGGACCCTAAACCGAGCTAAAGCCAACAGAGCCACCTCGGCGCTGCATCCTGCTGCTATACCTTTCCCTTATAGTATAAGACCCTACTCCTGGTGGTTAGATTTTAGGGACAGTCTTAATTCCTTTTCATTCTCCCCAAAGCAACCCTGCAACAGCTACACACAACTGCGAATGTTACAAGGAATGTTGCCTGCGCGCGCGTATGCCAGCTGATGCCTCCGCATGGCTGGGTTTAGGGTTTAGGGTTTAGGGTTTAGGGTTTAGGGTTTAGGGTTTAGGGTTTAGGGTTTAGGGTTTAGGGTTTAGGGTTTAGAGTTTAGGGTTTAGGGTTTAGGGTTTAGGGTTTAGGGTTTAGGGTTTAGGGTTTAGGGTTTAGGGTTTAGGGTTTAGGGTTTCACAACCAACGGCCAACGACCCTAGCCGACCTTGCTGATGCTGACGCGCCTCGGTGGCCCCTAGAAACAAGGGGGTCCATGATGCGTGCCCTGGGGTATCATCGAGCCATGAACATCGATGATGCGCATCGGTGAAGCATCAGAACCCTCAACCCTCAGCCCCTAAAACCCTCAACCCTAAACCCTCAACCCTCAACCCTAAACCCTAAAGAAAAAACAAAAACAGCCCCTTAGGGCGCAGGATTCGGATCTGGGCATGAAAGTCGTGACCCCCCCCCCCCCCCCCCCCTGCCCGTTTAGGCGTCCTTCTGGGAAGCCCGGACTGCCCTGGTCTTGGCTTTTGTTGTGGGGTTTAGGGTTTGGGGTTTAGGGTTTAGGGTTTGGGGTTTAGGGTTTAGGGTTTGGGGTTTAGGGTTTAGGGTTTAGGGTTTTAGGGTTTAGGGCTTGTCCAAGGCCACGGCCATTTCTTCGGATGTCGACGCCATGGGCACTAGGGAACTTGCCACGAAGACAAAGCCTTCGTCCGGAAAACGGGCTGAGACCGGCTTAGGGTTTGGGGTTTGGGGTTTAGGGTTTAGGGTTTAGGGTTTGGGGTTTAGGTTTTAGGGGGCCCAGACCCCTCCACCCCAAGATGGAGTGCAAGAGGTTTCCACATCCAAAACCCTAAACTGGAACCTTAGACCTCAAGACTCTAAACTCTGCACCTGCAAACCCTCAAGTTAAGTCCAGAACTAGCGATACCTGTGCAGGAGCTGTGGACCGGCTTGGGTCAGCTCCGTGCCCGGGTTGAATTTTCGAATTTGGAAGGCTTGTTGGAATAAAAAATTTTCGGGTCTTGGATTTAAGATTTTGGGTTGAGTTGTGTCACTGTGTGTGTGTGTGTGCTGCTTGGGGTACTCAGAACCCTACTTAAATTTGCCCATGAAGCTCCAAGTCCTCCCAAGGGACTCGAAACCCGAAACCCTAAATCCTAAGCCCTAAACCCAGGTGATTCAGAAGCTTGGCGCTGGGATCAAGGGTGCCCTGGGTTGTTGAATCCGTACCTCCCCAAAAATCCCTAGAGTTTCAGAGGATGGAGGGTTTAGGGTTTAGAGTTTGGGGCTTGGGGTTTAGGGTTTAGGGTTTAGGGTTTGGGGTTTGGGGTTTGGGGTTTGGGGTTTGGGGTTTGGGGTTTGGGGTTTGGTGTTTGGGGTTTGGGGTTTGGCAACCTAAGCAAGAAGAGCCTCCTGATGTCCTGAAGACGGTCACCACCCAATAAGCCTTAAACCCTAAACCCGAAGCCAGCTACTCTTAGCTCTATTCCGGGCTCTTTCGAAACCTTGAGTTCTGAACCTCAAAAACCCGAGCCTGACCTACGACCCCTATGAGGTCAGCGTGTTTCGGTCCTCGGCGCCAACATTCGCTTCGCGCACAGTTCGGAGGACGGGGGCCCGATGAAGGGTCTTAGCCTCTTCCCTGGGCACCTTCACCCTGATCTATATCCGTCTCTGGCCGCGTCTCTGTCTCTGACTAAGCTGGGGGGTTTAGGGTTTCCCCTAGACCCTAAACCCTAAACCCTAAACCGTAAACTCCAGATCGTCGGAGGTTCGGGGCTCATTGAATCATTGCGCCCTAAACAGGACTTGCGGAAGATGGTCTCGAACATGGAGCACAAGCTTCAGGTGCATGGGGTTTAGGGTTTAGGGTTCAGGGTTCAGGGGTTTGGGTGAGGGTTTAGGGTTTAGGGTTCAGGGTTCAGGGTTTAGGGCTTCGGGCTTAGGGTAGGCAGGTGTTGAGGACCACTAGGGCCTTCAATGGATCCCAGCAACGAGGTGTGCTGCTGTGGGCGTTTCTTTTTCGGGGTTGCGGCCTGTAACCTGAAAACCTAAACCTGAAGCCCAAACCCTAAACCCTAAACCCTAAACCCTAAACCCTAAACCCTAAACCCTAAACCCTAAACCCTAAACCCTAAACCCTAAACCCTGAACCCTGAACCCTGAACCCTGAACCCTGAACCCTGAAGCCTAAACATCAAAGCTCTAGACTCTGAACCTTGGATGGGACATAAACCTTGGGATGTTCCCCTTCATACTAACAGCTCCTTAATAGGGATGATAGTTAGGATTTAGGGTTTAGGGTTTAGGGTTTAGGGTTTAGGGTTAGGGTCAAAACCCTGAGCAACACCAGAATCCCTATTAACGGCTGTTAGTATAAGGGCGGACATCCCGACTCAAGACATAGACCGTTTGTTGGGATGGCTTGAAGTAATCCGGCACGGTCGGATGAAGGCAATTTGGGGTGTACGTTGGGATGTTCCCCCCCTTTGTATCACAGTCCTTCATAGGGGTTATAGTACACCCTATTCTCATCCCTACTAAGGGCTGTTAGTATAAGGGAACATCCCGAGGTGTAAGGTTTAAAGGTTCAGGGTTGCTCAAGGAATCCCACGCCCAGGTGCATGCAGAGCAGGCAAGGCAACAGCACGAGGAGAGAGCGGGGCGATAGGAGAGAGGCTTGTGTCTATATCCCCCTTGGGAATTATTTTCCATTTTTGTTCATATAAAACCCAAGAGGATATTAAACATGTTTTTTTTTTTTAAGGTTCTAAGGGGAGTTTAGGTGTTTTGCCTGCTTCAGGGAGGGGTTTGTTCTTCCTCTTTGATTGTTGTGGTCTACTTGGAGGTTCACGGGTAGTTATAAGTAGGGGTATAAGTATGATAACTATTATATAGCCCCGTTTAGGGCACATGTACTTAAAAACCCCACTTGGAACTACCCATGAACCCCCAAGTAGGAGCCTTTTGCGAGCACTCTACGGTGCATGCTAAGAAAGGCCCGAGCTGATCGTCTCTCTGATCCCCTCTGAAGCCTTGTCCTTGCTCCCTTTCCCCTGCTCCATACCCTCAAATCTGTATATGATTCCCGCATATGGTGCCGCACCGGATCAAGTTGCAAGGAGGGGGGGGGAGTAAGCATGGAATCCCACGAGGTGTTGTTTTTTTTTTTTTTTTTTTTTTTTTTCTTGGTTTGTTGTTTTCGATGAAGCTGCTGAGCAACTAAGAAGCTCTCTACCAATTTAGGTTCTGATGGTGCAATGAAAGACTCTGAAGGTCCCATTTCAGGGCTCCGGAGCAGCAGACCGACCAATTTGTCAGTTGTCCGTTTTCTGTTTTAATCATCTCAAATTAGGAACACGAAGCTATTACTGTTGCCTTTCTCGGTTCAATTTTTTGCAGGGTGCGACCGCTACTTATAACTGCCCATGAACCTCCAAGTACGTCACGTTTCAAGAAGGAAAGCTTTCGGTGGGACGAGACAGACAGAAAAGCAGCCTACAATCCAAGCCTAACATCCAATCACCCCCCTCAACACGATGAAATCAAAAGCTCTTTGAGTAAGTCTCTTCAGCCAGTACCTATACTTGGAGGTTCATGGGTAATCATAAGCAGGGTTATAAGTACCCCTACTGGGGTTATAGATATAGTAGCCTTACATGGAACCCTACTTGTATCTACCCACCCTCAACCCGAAACCCTAAACCCTAAAACCAAAACTTAAACCCTAAACCCAAAACCCTTAACCCTAAACCCCAAACCGTAAACTCTACACCCTAAAGCCTAAACCCTAAAGCCTAAACCCTAAACCCTAAACCCTAAACCCTAAACCCTAAACCCTAAACCCTAAACCCTAAACCTAACCCTAAACCCTAAACCCTAAACCCTAAACCCTAAACCCTAAACCCTAAACCCTAAACCCTAAACCCTAAACCCTAAACCCTAAACCCTAAACCCTAAACCCAAGCCTATACCTCTCTGGCACACACGAAGACCTACAGCCTAACCCTCAAGTTCCCACCGGGCTCGTATTCAGCCACCCTACAAAGGCGCCTCGGATCAGGGTTGACGGTTTAGGGTTTAGGGTTTAGGGTTTAGGGTTTAGGGTTTAGGGTTTAGGGTTTAGGGTTTAGGGCTCTTCCTTCTAAACAGGAGCTGGCCTCCGAAGAGCACAGCCTGCAGCATGCATTGCAGGCAGGCTGAGGGTTCAGGGTGCAGGGCTGTGCTTTCTGGAGATTTAGGGTTTAGGGTTTAGGGTTTAGGGTTTAGGGTTTAGGGTTTAGGGTTTAGGGTTTAGGGTTTAGGGTTTAGGGTTTAGGGTTTAGGACTAGGGCGGCTTCGCAAGTTTGAGGCTTCACTGTGGTCTTAAGGTTTCCGGGATTGAACAGAGAGTCCATTTTGCGGGACCATGTAGCTACCCTCAGACACCCTAAACCCTAACCCTAAACCCTAAACCCTAAACCCTAAACCCTAAACCCTAAACCCTAAGCCCTAAACCCTAAACCCTAAACCCTAAACCCTAAACCCTAAACCCTAAACCCTAAACCCTAAACCCTAAGGGACCATGTAACTACACTAAGAAGCCAAGAAGCCTGAAGAGCTCAGAGCCATGGAGGCATCCTTGGCGCGGTTCGAGGCGGCCTGGACTTAGGGTTTAGGGTTTAGGGTTTAGGGTTGGGTTTAGGCTTTAGGGTTTAGGGTTTAGGGTTGACTTCAGCAAAAGAAGCCCTAAACCCTGTCAACCTCGAGCAGTTTAGGGTTTAGAGTTTAGGGTTTGGGGGAATTGGGGAATTGGGGAATTGGTGGATTTGTGTGGATTGAGGGGCATTGGGGGATTGGGGAACTGGGGCTTGGGGTTTGCAGAAGGTTTGGCTTTTGTTTTCAGGTTCAAGGTTTAGGGTTCAGGATGCACGTCAGGAATGCCTTGATTCACAGTGCGAAATCGCTAAGCCCCAAACCCTAAACCCTAAACCCTACACCCCAAACCACTATAAGCTGTACGGATTTGTTTCTAAGGTTGGATGGGGCTCCCTGTGCACCACAGAAGTGGATCCCTTCCGCATCACTTGTGTGACTTGCTGGGCAAGAAAAGTCCTCTGTATACATCCTTAGAGAACAGATGTATACTTGTACTTTTTGGGGTATATCTACCCCTTGCACAAAATCCTCATGGGTATATCGGTGACTCCCTAAACCCTAAACCATAAACCCTAAACCCCTCAACCTTAAACCCTAAACCCTAAACCCTAACCCCTGACCCCTAACCCCTAAACCCTAAACCCTAAACCCCCAGATTTTTTTAGACCTTCAGGCCTGGACGCAGGACACTGCGCCGCGGCCCGCGCCGCGCCGACGCGCGAAGTCCTGTGAGGGGCGCCCCAACTGAGTTTTTTTGTGTGGGTGTAGGGTTGAGGGTTTAGGGTTTAATTAGGGTCTAGGCTTTAGGGTTTAGGGTTTTTCGGTTTAGGGTTTTCCCCTAACTGAGGTTTTTAGGGTTTTTTTAGGGTTTTTAAGGGAGTTTAGGGGCTTTAGGGTTCTTAAGGGAGTTTCGGGTTTTTAGGGTTCTTAAGGGGGGTGTTTAGGGTTTACTGAGTTTTTTTTGTTTGCGTCGGCTTAGGGTGTAGGGTTTAGGGTTTTTCGGGGTTTATCGGGTTTCAGGGTTTTTAGGGTTCTTAAGGGAGTTTAGGGGTTTTGGGTTTTTAGGGCTTTTAGGCTGTTTAGGGCTTTCACGGTTTTAAGGGTTTTTAGGGTCTTTAGGGTTTTCAGGGTTCAGGGTTTAGATTGAACATGACTGAAGGTGCGGTTTTTTCGGGGGTTTCCGGTCGTTATCTAGGTAGAGGGCTTTTTCGATGGTTCATTTTCCCTTCTTTTAGCGCGATCTTAACCAGGAGCATTGTCTAAAGGGCGCAAAGGGCCAACGTCGTTATGTAAGCCCTTCTTGGTGTGGAGGGTTTCTTGTTACCTGCGCTAGGCCCGCGCTGGGCCCTTGTCCAGAAGGCACAGAAGCCTAGCGCCACGAACTCTTGCAGCCTTAGCGCCCTAAACCGTGAACCCTGAACCCTAAACCCTAAACCCTAGATCCCAGCCACCTTAGCACCCCAAACCATGTAAACCCCGCCAACCCCCCAACATCAGCGTGGAGGGGTGCTTGGGGGCTCGAAACGCAAGACCGACTCGGGCCTGGGCGCGTTCATTGCAGAATGGCATGTTGCATGCCCTGGATTCAAGGACAGCAAGGCATTCTACTTGGCTCGGCACATTCCTACCTGGAGACCGATTGGCCGGCATCAGACGCGGAGGAGGCTGCGTTTGAAGCTCGTAGCAAAGTGCTCGCAAAGGAGCAGGCCCAGGGTTTTCCTAGGAGAAACCTCGTTCACTGATGTAAGTTGTCTTGATTTTAGGGCTCATGGGGTTGAGGGTTGGGGGTTTAGGGTTGAGGGTTCAGGGTTCAGGGTTTGTAGGGTTTAGGGTTTAGGGTTTAGGGTTTCCAAGCCTTAAACTTCCTGAGCAACCCAGAGCGCTTAAGGACCTTTTCATTCAAGCCTGCAAGCCTTAATAAGTGCCACCCTATTCTCTTTGTATGCTGTAAGCCCCATAGGTTGGGATGTTCCCCCTTTGACTAACAGTCCTTAATCGGGATTATAGGGGGTAATTACTATAATTCCTATTCAGGACTGTCAGTATAAGGGGGAACATCCCACGCTATGGGCATAATAAGCATCATGAATCATGTTCCCCACCGAACCAAGCCCAAGCGTGAAGCCCGAAACTCCTGGGAGCACCAAGAAAACCCCTAAACCGACAACCAGCACCCCAAACCCCCTGAGAGAACCTAAACCCTAAACCCTAAACCCTAAACCCTAAACCCTAAACCCTAAACCCTAAACCCTAAACCCTAAACCCTAAACCCTAACCCCAAACCCTAAACCCTAAACCCTAACCCCAAACCCTAAACCCTAAACCCCCTACACCCTGGGGGCGCTTTCGAAGCCCAAGGCCGCCAAAGGGCGCAGCACTTCGGCAGCGCCTCGCGCAGCTCACCGAGCAGCTGGCGCCTGGCCGAGGCGGAGTTTTTTTTTTTTTTTTTTGTTTTCTCGGTGGTTTGTTTTTATTAAAGATCTTTTCCATATTCATTTGTGTGTTTTTTGGTGGGCTTAGTCTTAAAGATTTTTCTCGTATTCATTTTGTGTTGCTTTTTTGGTGGGCTTATTCTTAAAGATTTTCTCATATTCATTTGTGTGTTCTTTGGTGGGTTTATTCTCAAAGATTGTTTCATCTTCAATTGTGTTTTTTGTGGCTTTAGTAGTTTCTTCTTTTTTTTTTGGGGGGGGGGGGGGTTTTGTTGTTTTCTTGTCATTGTTTGTTTTTTGGGGTGTATGGCTTTTGTAGGTTCTGATGGGTTTTGTTTCAATTTTTGTTCGTTATGATTTCGCTGTGTTGTTTTTTTGGTGTGGTCTTTGCATTTTTGTGCCTTTTGGGGGTTGAGGCCCTTCACTTGGGTTTTTTTTTTATAACTTTTGTGAGGCAGCTTAAAACTTTTCAGGAAGGGGTTGTGGGGGTTAAGAGTCTTAGGGGTGTTGGGCTTGTGTTTCATTTTTTTGGGAGTCATTGGAGGCTGAGGGTTTTTCTAAACCCTAAACCCTAAACCCTAAACCCTAAACTCTAAACCCTAATTTTGGGGCCGAGGGTTTGCCTAGAAGTTTTGGTGTTTTGCCCCCCAAGAAGCCCGAAGCTCCCAGAAACCCAGCAACAAAACCCGAGAACTCTAAAACAGCTCCCCTATACGAACGCCTTTGGGCCAAGAGGTGGCTGGAGCCAGGAAGACCATGAGGCCTTCGCCAGGCTCCTCCTGGGGCGCCCCGCCAGCACCGAATGGTTCATTTTCGGGTTGAGGGCTTTTTGGGTTTAGGGTTTAGGGTTCAGGGTTTAGGGTTTAGGGTTTTGGGTTATAGGGCTTCAGGCTTCAGGGTTTTCGGGTTTCGGATTTTGGTTTTTTTGGGGTTTTGGGGCTTTTGGGGCTTTTGGGTTTTTTGGGTTTCTTTTACGGGTCTGAGGGTTAGGGTTTCAGGTTTAGGGTTTCGGGTTGGGGGTTTTTTTCGGGTTTTAGGGCCAAAGTTAAGTCCACCCAGCCGGGAATCTCGCCTTGTGTACAGTGCGGAGGTTTCTCCCTGCACTTTCTGTGGGAGCTTCCGGAAAAGCCGCTTTAACCCGAGGTCTGCCAGTCGAATCTAAGAATGATTTGATTATAGGGTTCCTAAGGGAGTGGGGTTCAAGGGGGGTTTAGAACCCAAGGTTCCCTAATACTCCCTACACTCCCTCCCTAAGGTTCCCTAGGTACCTACCCCCCTTGAAGCCTTTCCTCCCTTGAGAACCCTATAGAACAAAGCTCGGTCCTGGGGGTAGGTACCCAGGGAGGCTTATACAGGATCTTGGGGAGCCTTAGGAAGTCGTGGGTGCGTACACCCTAAACCCTCAGCCCTAAACCCTAAACCCCTAAACCCCAAACCCTAAACCCTAAACCCTAAACCCTAAACCCTAAACCCCAAACCCTAAACCCTAAACCCTAAACCCCAAACCCTAAACCCCAAACCCTAAACCCCAAACCCGAAACCCTAAACCCTAAACCCTAAACCCTAAGCCCCCGCTTCAGGCGCTTCAAAGGCCGGGCCAGCCCTGCTTTTCTGGAGGAGGCCGTTGGGAGTACGTGGAGGTTCATTGAGTAATTATATGTAGGGTTTAGGGTTTAGGGTTTAGGGTTTAGGGTTTAGGGTTTAGGGTTTAGGGTTATTATATGTACCCTCAATGGGGTCTGAAGTGTAGTTCCCAGAATTACAACTTGGGATTTTCCCCCTTATACTAACAGTCGTTAATAGGGATTATAGTACCCCCGATTCTAATCTCTCGTATGGTCTGTCAGTATAAGGGTTGCAACCCTACTTATGACTACCCAACCTCCAAGCATGTCTGAGGGAACCTGAGTTTCTAGGACCCAGAGTACGGCTTTATTCGTTTTCTTAGCGTTTGGGTTCTCTTTTATGTAAGCCCCTTTTAACCCCCCCAAAAAAAGGGTTTAGGGTTTAGGGATTTCATGAGGGCTGTTCAAGGACGTGAGGCTCCGAGTTCGATGGAATGCGTAAGGTTAAGCTGAGAATCTTCCACACCACGTTTACCAGCATTACTTTTGCGGTTTGGCCGCCCTCACTTTTCGCACGCCGCGCCTCACGCGTATTGATGCCCAGTATGTTCGGTTTCTCAGGAGGGTTCTGGGAAGAAAGGCTCGTACTTGGAGGTTCATGGACAGTTCTAAGTGGGTTCTAACTACCCTAAATAGGGTTATAAGCATAGTTCCCATACGTATACTCCTACTAATACCTACCATGAACCAAGTGCTATCTCCCGGATCCCCAACAAGGTAGCAAGCAGGCCCAGAATCCGGTCCAACACAGAGCGTAGTCTTTGGCCTAGTCTATAAGGCTAGGATTCTCCTCACGGGTAGATGTGGGAGTGCAATTCCCGTACTGGATAGAAGCTTACTCCCTAAACCCTAGACCCTAAACCCTCAACCGACTTCTACCCTCAGATACTGAGATACTGCCTGCCTGACCACCACGCACGGAGACCTCACGTCCGCTACGAAGCCATAGCTAAGCTAATTCGGAGCACTGAATAGGGATTATAGGGATTATAAAAGGTCCTATAATCCCTATTATGTTAGTATAAGGGGGAGCGTCCCAACCCTCACATGTTTGACATCAAGAAGTCGTCAGGGTTTTGTTTGGGCTTGGGCTCTCGCGTGCAGCGAACCGTAGATCCCCTAGCGCCCCGAAGGAACCCTAGATCCCTTAAGTTTAGGGTTTAGGGTTTAGGGTTTAGGGTTTAGGGTTTAGGGTTTAGGGTTTAGGGTTTAGGGTTTACGGTTTAGGGTTTAGGGTTTAGGGTTTAGGGTTTAGGTTATTCGACCAGAAGTCATCAACAAATATTCGGGGCTCACAAATGGCAGCAGCCTTGGACGTTAAACCCAAAAGAAAAACTCTAAGCCGTGAACAACCTATACCCTGAGTCCTACAGGGTTCAGGGTTTAGGGTTTAGGGTTTAGGGTTAGGGTTTAGGCTTTAGGGCTTTTAGGGGTTTTGGGGTTTTAGGTTTTCAGGGTCTTTTAGGGTTTGAGCATTTTAAGGGTGTTAGGGTTTAGGGTGCATCAACGCACCATCTTGAACTGGCCGCCGAACTCGAAACGCTCGAGAAACATATTCCTTGGAAACCCACAAGCCTAAACTCCCAAAACCCTGAACGCTACACCCGAAACCCGAAACCCGAAACCCTAAACCCTAAACCCTAAACCCTAAAGCCTGAAGCCCTAAGCCCTAAGCCCCAACCATGGCACCTTGCTTTCCACCTTGGGAAAGTTCATATTTTTTTTCATTGTCGGGTTTAAGAGGATCAAGAGGATCATGTTTAGGGCTAAGTTTTGGGAGGCTTGCAAGGGCGTACCGAGTTTAGTAGCTACCCTGAACCCTAAACCCTAAACCCTAAACCCTAAACCCTAAACCCTAAACCCTAAACCCTGAACTTCCGAGTACACTAGTGAAGCCATGGCTGCTCGGCATCGGCAGAGAGGGCGCGCAGCCCTTCTGGCGCAAGTGGCGCCCCAGATCGCGTTTAGGGTTTAGGGTTTAGGGTTTGGGGTTTGGGGTTTGGGGTTTAGGGTTTAGGGTTTAGGGTTTGGCGTTTAGGGTTTACAAGGTTTATCGTTCGACGACAATACGGCGATTCAATGTGGTCTGAAGTATGGTACAGCACAGGTCCGCAATGCAACCTTAAGCCCTACACCCCCGTGTGTGTCTTTTTTCTGCGCCCGCGTGCATGCATACCTGACCCACGTAACACAACGAGACTTTCGCGACCGAGACGAAGCTTGCGAGCTTTGCCTGGGCGTTTTTGAACACAACACCCCAAAATCCCCAAGTAGTTACCCTAGGGTGGAGTGAATCCCCATGCTAATCACCGTATGTATCCCTACAGTAGTACCGATATTCACTCTGAAGCAACAGCAAGTGATCCCTGAAATCACCAGCAACCCGAATGCCTGCGGGTCTTTTTTGGCGCCTTCCACATGCACAGGAAGGTGCACAGCTGCCCAAGATGTCATGAACCTGCCTAGGCCTAAGACCCTGGACCCTAGACCCTCTAGACTCTCAACCTAAACACAAAGTCCGTTGACTCAAAGTAGCTCTACTTTGGAAGATCCGAGTGCATGGTCATTCCTCTGAGGGAGCCTCTATACTTCTGAGCAGACCATCGCAAGGTTTAGAGCTTTGAAGGTTTGCGGACTGAGCCTTTCCTGTTGGAGGCTTCCATCTCGCTCCTCCTGGTACCCGGCCTGTATGGCTTTGCAGAACCAGGAGCAGCAAGTTTCCGGCGACGGGCCTTTGAAGGAGGGCTGTTTGTTAGGGTTTCTGGCTGGAAAGTGCGTGTTGGCCATGCATGCAACAGACCACATCACCCTAGGCTTGTGAAAGGATGCTGTGTTCTCTTTACCTCGAAGCCCGAAATGCACAAAAGGCAACTAACTAAGCACCACGCAGCCCACGTTATGAGCCTTCACACTTAGCTGGCTTAGCTCCGAAGATTTTTAGGACCGCAGTACAGAGCAAGGGGTCTCGGAGCACAAAGCGGAAACTGAAAAATGAGACTCTCATGTCCTATCCTTAATGTTTCCGGGCCTTTATGACCAAGGGAGTTATAAAGTCGCAGCTTTGGCATTTCTACAATTGAGAATTTAAGGCTTACAGTGAAAACCCTAACCCAGCCAGCCGCCTTGAGCCCTTAATCCCTAAACCCCCCAGCCTTTACAGGGTTTAACTAGGGTTTAGGGTCTCAAATTGATCCTTTATATGCCCTTGTCAAACCCTAAACCCTATGTTAAAGCCTCTTCAAGCTAAGCCTCACGTCCTAAGCTCGAGCCTACCGAATACCGACAGAATACGTCGCGCAAGGAGGCCGATCGCTGACACGGGTGCCCCGGCGCGCGGCCGAGGCGGAGGGGAGGCTCTTTGGGTGTTGGGCTCTGAGGCTCTGAGGCTCTTAGGCTCTTAGGCTCTTAGGCTCTTAGGCTCTTAGGCTCTTAGGCTCTTAGGCTCTTAGGCTCTTGGGCTCTTAGGCTCTTAGGCTCTTAAGATCTTAAGATCTTAAGATCTTGGGCTCTTAGGTTCCCAGGCTCTTAGGATCTTAGGCCCTCCTTAGATCTTGCGCTCTGAAGCTCTTAGGCTCTTAGGCTCCTAAGATCTTAGGCTCTTCGGGTTTTTGGGGTTGAGGGTTCAGGGTGTAGAGCTTAGCGAGCCCCATTCTTTGAATCCTGGAAGTCAGGGGTTTGGGGTTTGGGTTTCCGGTTGCCCTAAGCCATGAGCCCGGAACTTTCCATGGTTCTATCCGTTACCCGTTGACAGCATCCTGTCCGCCCGAAAGCATCCTGTCTGACCCCAAGCAGCCATGCCTGGCAGGCGCACGTTAGGTGCAAGATACGCAGAATAGGCACATCGAGCTACCGAGATTTCTCCACGCCTCTCGTCCATACGATCTATTGAGCATCGGAGCGTGTGAGGATGCGACCCCCTAACCTTAAACCCTCCTTAAACCCTTAACGCTGTCGCACTCACGAGATAAACACCGATTCCGAACCCATCTCATCGAACAGGTGGTTTAGGGCTCCAGGGTTTGCATATGGGGTCTAACGGGTTTAGGGTTTGTTGTTTAGGGTTTAGGATTTCGGGCTTAGGGTCTAAGGTGTACCCGTAATCCTCGAGTCTGTGGAGCTTTACTCAAAGTTGGATCAGCCCTGGGGGCCCTAAAGCCCCAAAAGCCCCCCCCCCCCCTCCTCCCCAAAATCCCCAAATCCCGAAATCCCTAAATCCTAGACCCTAAATCTTAAACCCTAAGCCCTTAAAACCACAGAAAGCGAAGGAGCCGAACTTCTTGGAGCAGGCAGTCTGGAGTGCCCTGAGATTGATTGGACGACTTGGGGTCCCTGCAGCCTGAGCCCGAAGCCCCCCGAAGTCCAGAGCGCCTCACCCTATCCTAGGTAGGGTTAGGGGGACCCTTAAAAGGGAACCCTTCTCAAATTGGGGCTAAAATGCAGGGGGGGGTGGGGGTACCCTAAAGCACGTGCCTTTCAAGTTCTTTTAGCTGTTGCCGGGGGGGGGGGGTCGTCAACCAGGCCAAGTGCTTTTCAACTATCGGGGAACCCCCCAATCCAAGTGCATTGCAGCCCTTTGGCATCTGGCCTCACAAAGCTTGTGTCAGTCCCCGTGCCCGAAGCATCAGTGCTTGCAGCCTGGAGGCTTCTTCAACGGGCAGGGTGCATGTTTCCTGTCTGGTGCCAGCAGACGAGAAGGGCCAGTTCATGAATTCCGTGCTGTGCCCCATCTTGATTGAACTTCACAGCACAGTCGGATTGCGTGCTTCTGGAGGTGAAGCCCAGCGAGTACAGCGTCCTGCAAACCGGTCACGTGCTGAAGGTGAAACTATCTCAGAAGGCCCTGGTTGCATGGCTCAGCTTGCGCAAAGGCGAGGTGCCTAACATATTGGCTGCCAAGTAGGGTTTAGGGATGTTCCCCCTGCTACTAACAGACCTTAATAGGGATTCTAAAGCCGGGTACTAGAATCCCGATTGAGGACTGTTAGTAAAAAGGGG